AGCGGGAGATAACGAGAGCATGCACCACTCTGGCAAGACAGTCCACGGGCAGATAGGGTCTCAGCCTGAGTATCAGGTGGAGCTGGTAGACAGCTTCCCTGGAAATAGAATTGACCTGCACCTCCATGGACAGCTGTGAGTCCAAAATGACTCCCAGACTGCGCACCTGGCCTTCAGGGGCACAGTTACCCCATTCAGAACCATGGAGTCCCCCACACCTGCCCGCTCCCTGTCCCCCAAAAACAGTATTTCTGCCTTTTCAGGATTCAACCTCAATCTGTTAGCCGCCATCCATCCTCCAACCGCACTCACAGGCACTCCAGGCACTTGGGAGAGAGATACTCAGGCAACAAAATGTCTTGAGCCTACCCTGCTTCTTGGTGGTTGTGTGATGCCCTTAGAGTGTTCCACTGGCTAGGTTGAGAGACCATCTGGCTCTTCCTCTCCCTCAACTAGCAACCATTCCACTTGGCATCAGCTGAGGGAGTTGGGTGTCACTCTGCTGGCTCAGCTGATAGACTCATCACTATTGCGTTCGTCCTATCTACATGGAGGGCAAGGCTATCAGTGGCTAGTAAGCACAATGGCTGTGTTCTCCCTCCACTGACAAAGACAGTATGCATCTGAATTCCTGTTGCTGGGAATTGCCAGTGGGTGGAATGTTGTTGCACTGAGGTCATGCTGGTGTGCTTCTCACAGACATCCAGTTAACCTCTGCAAGAACAGAATGATGGACTAGATGAGCCCTTGGCCTAGTCCAGCAAGGTTCTTCTTATGTTCTCTCTCGATTGGCATCTAGCAGCAAAGGGAGAGATGGCAAATAAGGCTTACTCCACTGCCTAGAGCAGCGGTTATCAACCTGCGGGCCCCCAGATGTTGTTGGACTACAACTCCCATCATCCCTGAGCTCTGGCCTTGCTAGCTAGGGGTGATGGGAGTTGTAGTCCAACAACATCTGGGGACCCACAGGTTGAGAACCGCTGGCCTAGAGTGAGCCAACACCAGCTCCATTTATCTCCTCCCCTGCCTGGTCCATTTCCACCCAAGCAGGTCATTATACAGACTTCATAAGTATATGAACTGGTGCTTACGTTTCCTTTCCCCTCTCCCCATCACTATTTCCTTTTATATCATGCCTTTTAGATTTCAAGATTGTGATCAGAGACTTTTTTTTTACTCAGAATAAACCCATTGAAATTAATTAACATGGCTAAGTTAGGTCGTTTCAACAGGTCTAGTCTAAGTAAAACTTACTTGAATACCCCTAATTCAATGAATGAGTCCTTTCAGCAGAATCCCTTTGTAAGGAGATGTGCTTGTAGAGCGAGGCCTCCCCTTGCTCCTCCTCCCAAAATGGCTTAGCATTTTTGGGAGAACCCAGTTGTGTTTTGCACTGTAAAGGCAGCACACTTGAAGAGTAAACGAAACAATGTGGAAAGTGCTCAAATGAGAATACGCCAGTATACAAAAGGCAGATTCTCCTCATTTTCCAGCATCAGTCAACTACAAAAATGAGCTTCTTCTCTTTTTCTCTCTCTTTCTGGAGGGGGGCACTCCCAAGTCCCAGGTGGGGGCAAGCATTATTCCTTCCTCTGATTGCTTAGCAACAGGATTAAGTGATTAAATAACCTTAGCAACAGCAGCTTCTCTGCATCTGCAGCCTTAGAATGGTACCTCTATGTTTAGCTCTTCAACTTTATAAACATCCAATGACTTACTTAAATGAGAAAAGAAAGCTGAGAATCTGGCACCCATGCTGTCTTGAAACTTGGTACATATGTATTCTCTTTACCCCACTGTCAGTCACTCTGAATGCTGCCTTACTGATTGCTGAATGGAACTATGTAGATAGTTTGCAGTCATGATAAAGGAAGCAAAAGGCAAAGAAAGGAAGATAGGAAGGAGTTGGGCTCCAAGGCTTTTGTTTTCTTCAACAATAGTAAAATAATAATGAACAATAGTAAAACTGGATGCACAGTTGCACCAAAATTAATGGATGGTGAATTCTAAACGGCTGTTGTGTGGAATAATAGGCAGGGAGTGAAAATCTCCAGCAGTTCAGAAGCAGATCAAACGAGACAATGTTCAAAAAGTTGTCACAAAATAGTTTTCTGGGAAATTGCAATTACCTTGAGCCTACACAAAGAAAATACAGTACTGATGTTGGAACTGTACGGTTTTCCCATGTTGGGACTGGATCGCTTAAAGGTCCAACAATGATGAAGTGAATCAGATGGACCCTTCCGCCTCTAGATGGAACCAGACTTAGGAGACCCCTGTTGTGTTAGATCCGGAATGGAGAATGTGTGGCCTTCCAGATGTTGTTGGGCTCCAGTTCCCATTAACCTCATCTGGCATGGCCAATGGAGACAGGGCCCAATATCTGGAGGACCCCACCACTACTTTATACTAGGTTTTTCTGACTCACTTTTAAACAAAAGCAACACACACACATATCTATGTGTATTTTTTTTAATAGCAAAACCAGTGTGGTATTTGCAAAGCTGCACACTCTGGTAATGTTCCAAACTCTAGAGAGGAGTACAGGAGACATAATTCAGTCTTTTGGCTCCGTGACAAGTTGCATCTTGGCTTGAATCTTTCAGGACTTAAAGGGGAAAAAATCCCTGTCAATACATTTCTGAGTACTTAAAAGAAATCGCCTAGTTCCCATCTCAAGTCATTTATACAGATCTCTCTTTTAGAATACTCCCCCCCCTCCCCGTTCCTCGTTTTATAGTTAGCAGTTGGGCTGTACAACCCATAGTTTGACAGTCTTACCTCAAACTTTAAAAATTCTGCTGCTATAACTTTTAAGTGAGAAGTGTGTGTGTGTGTGTGTGTGTGTGTGTGTGTGTGTCTGTCTGTCTGTCTGTCTGTCTGTCTGTCTGATATGAACTGGGGATGAACCATACACATTCTGGTCTTGTGAGTCCTCACAGCTTCTGCCACCTATGTAGAAGAAGAAGAAGAGTTTGGATTTGATATCCCGCCTTTCACTCCCCTTCAGGAGTCTCAAAGCGGCTAACATTCTCCTTTCCCTTCCTCCCCCACAACAAACACTCTGTGAGGTGAGTGGGGCTGAGAGACTTCAAAGAAGTGTGACTGGCCCAAGGTCATCCAGCAGCTGCCTGTGGAGGAGCGGAGACGCGAACCCGGTTCCCCAGATTACAAGACTACCGCTCTTAACCACTACACCATGCTGGCTCTCTAGACCCATGTAGACCCATGTTTCCACCCCATAGTTGACAAGCATATGGAGATCCTTCAGAGGGTCAGATTTAGCCCACTTGTGAATACCTTTTCTTAATGATTGGCTAAAGCCAAAGGTCCTGTGAAATCCTGTTTGTTTCCTACCTCTTGAAATCTTAGAATTCAATGTCATCTAATGAATCTGTATCTTGGAGGACTCAAAAGAGACAAATAAGATATTGTTTTCACAGAGCACAGAGTTAAATGATGGAATTTGTCCCACAAGGTGCAGTGACTTTCAGTTATCCTATCTTTAAAAGGCATATGAAGGCAGCCCTGTTTAGGGAAGTTTTTAATATTTAATGCTGAACTGTTTTTAACATTTGATTGAGAGCCACCCAAAGTGGCTGGGGAGACTCAGCCAGATGGGCGGGGTATAAATAATAAATAAATTATTATTATTATTATTTCAAGGATACTTAGGCACCATTTCAAATCCTGAGAACCCCCATGTAAGCCCCTCCACTATTTCCCCGGAGCCCCCTAAGCTAGTATATCCTGCATCTTCTAAGTGAATACTGTATGTTGTCCTCAGATTTCATGAAGGTGCTGTCCAGCAAGAGGTGCTGAAATAAGGTTCAGAAGTTAGGGTGGTTGGATAATGTACATCAAACAGGTATCTCGCCTCCTGCATCAGGTAGCAAAATGGCTTGGGCCAGTCCTGGTTCCTACATCGAGGTTCAAAAATGGTTGGATTGCTTAGAAAATGAATAGTAAACAAGGGATGGCTCACCTGCGGCCCTTCAGATATTGTGAGCCAGCATGATCAATGTACAAGAATGATGTAGATGTAGCCAAGTTTTTGAATGGACCACCTGGATGTGGACATAATTACACTTGTGCTGAGATAATTTTGATGGCTGCCGATCAACTCCTGGGCCACGTTCAAGGTTTTGTTGTTAACACAGAAGACCCTGAACAACATGGGACCAGGTTACTTGAAAAACCAACCACCTGCTCTTGTATACACCTGCAAGATCACTAAGATCATCCGAGTAAATTCTACTTGTGGCATTACGTCCTGCAGGATATCATAGGCAATCTGAAAGCATGCAATTTATGCTGCTAGCCAAGTACTGTGGAATGCCCTTCCTTCTGCCATACACAAAGCAGCAATCATATGTTGTTGTTGTTGTTGTTGTTGTTGTTGTTGTTGTTGTTGTTGTTTTCATTTCTCTTCCACTTTATATTTGCTTCAGATGTCTTGCAAATACTTTGTTTTTTGAACAGGTTGTCCCTGACACATAAGGTTGGTCCCTGTCTTAAGTCTTTAAATCTTCTAGATATCTGGTTTATTCCCTTTAATATGCTTTTATGTGTTTTTATTGCCGTTTTATTAGTTTTGGGTTGTGTTTTTGTTTCAGTGTGTTCAGGATACATTGTTTTAGACTGTACACTACTTAAGAGATTTTTTGAAAGATTAAGCAGATTAGAAATAGTTAAAAATAAATATACAAACAAACATATTGTCCAGCAACATGAAAAGAGCCACAGGTTCTTATGCTTAAAATGAGTCAACAGTGTGATGCAGCAGCAAAAAGAGCTAATGCTATTCTAGGCTGCATCAATAGTGTGCCAATCAAGGGAAGTAATAGTACCACTCTATTCATCCTTGGTCAGACCACACCTGGAATACTGTGTCCAATTCTGGGTACCACAATTTAAGAAGAATGTTGACAAGCTGGAATGTGTACAGAGGAGGGCAACCAAGATTCTCAAGGGTCTGAAAGCCAAGCCTTATGAGGAATGGTTGAAGGAGCTGGGTATGTTTAGCTTGGAAAAGAGGAGACTGAGAGAAGATATGATAGCCATCTTCAAATTTCTCAAGGGCTGTAACATGGAAGCTTGTCTTCTCCTGCTGTGGAAGGTAGGACTCAAACCAATGGCTCCAAGTTACAATAAAGGAGATTCTGATTCAACATGGAGAAGAACTTTTTAATGGTAAGAGCTGTTGGACAATGGAATGGACTCCCCCAGAAAGTGGTGGACTCTTGTTCATTGGAAATTTTAAAGCAGAGGATGGATGGACACTTGTTATGGGTGCTTTAGTAAGAGGGGGTTGGGCTAGATGACCCCCTCGGAGTCCCTTTGAACTCTACAATTCAACTCCTGAGCTAAACTCATGGGTTATATGGCTTTAACATGCGATCGGAGAAATTTATGAATGGGTGTTCTCCATAAATTCCAATTGAATTTCATCATGGGAGCTAAGTGGAATCTCCAGTATCTCTCAAGAGTAGGTAGAAGTGTTTTATCTCCTGATCTTAGTTCTAACTGCCACATCACTGAGATTGAACATGACTGTAAAGAGCACCAGTTCTTCCCAATGGGATGGGGATGGTTGGAAATTCTTCCTTTTTATAAGCCAGAAGAGTGATTATATCTGATATCAGTGCTGTGGAGCTTATGATTTAGACCAGGGTTCCCCAAACTTGGGTCTCCAGCTGTTTTTGGACTACAGTGTGGTGTAGTGGTTAAGAGCGATAGACTCGTAATCTGGTGAACCGGGTTCGCTTCCCCGCTCCTCCACATGCAGCTGCTGGGTGACCTTGGGCTAGTCACACTTCTCTGAAGTCTCTCAGCCCCACTCACCTCACAGAGTGTTTGTTGTGGGGGAGGAAGGGAAAGGAGATTGTGAGCCGCTTTGAGACTCCTTAGGGTAGTGATAAAGCAGTATGTCATATCCAAACTCTTCTTCTTCAGTCCCCATCATCCCTGACCACTGGTGCTAGGGATATGGGATATGGGATATGGGAGCTGTGGTCCAAAAACAACTGGAGACCCAAGTTTGGGAAACACTGATTTAGTCTGAAGCTAAGCTATCACTCCTTTTTAAGGACTTGTCTCTCCATCTCCATAAATGATGGTGTGAGATGACTGGCAGGTGGGCAGAACTTACTTGGAGAGGCTTTGTGGGCTGGGTCAGATAGACCTTTGATCTAATCCAGCAGGACTCTTCTGATATTCTTACATCTCATCTCGCTAGTGCATTTACAAGAAACACACTATAGTGATTCCTCCTTACAATAACTGTAAGCCCTGAGATGAAGCAGTACTTCTCTCTCTCTCTCTCTCTCTCTCTCTCTCTCTCTCTCTCTCTCTCCACTGCTAGACTATCAATCCATACTCTTGGGTGGTTTAAGAAGTATGGCTTTAGCCTTCTTCCCGACACCTGGATATAATAATGCCATCTTCTACTTCTTTGTGAAGTCTATGAACACTGCAGGAGTTCTTTCCCCTGTATGTTTTACTGCCTCGGTATTGCATGGACTTCTGTGTATGCTTTGCAATTGATAAGGCTCAAGGGTACAAATATCCCAGATAACAAGCGGATCAACACAGAATAGATGGAGACTTCCGGGGTCTCTCAGCCCAAAGGAAAGCTCATTGAGTAGCAAAGTACAGCAACCAAATTGGATTTTACACTCCAGCACGTGTACACTGAGGGCCTTCTCAGGCAGATAATCATAAGCAGAGCTCCAGTGGATTGAAACCTCCTTCTCGAAGTACAGTTTTAGAAGCTCTTTTTATCTTAGTATTTCGTTCTTCTTTCTTTTGTGGAAAATTCTATTGCTTTAAAGTTAAGAGTTGCCTTGCTGGGTCAGATATTGTCTGGTCCAGCATTCTTGTTTCCAATGGTGCTCTGATCATATGTCTCTGAAAAGCTCATAGCCAGGACTTGGAACACAAATCTGGAGAGGCGCTAAACTTTCTCAGAACACTGCCTCCCCCTGTAAGAATTTTCTTTTTTCCTTTGGGAAAGAGGGCATTTTCAAAACGCTCTACAACTTTGGGTATGTTGGTTGTCATTTTCGAAGGAAGAAATAGACTCCAGGGAGGAGAAACTAATAGCTATTTAAAACTCCCTCCCCTCTTTTTTCCCTCCCTCCCTCCGTCCTTTCCTTTTTCTTCCTTTCTCTCTCTCTCCCTCTAGTTAAAAATGTTTCTTGTTTAATTTTCAAGGCAAATAAATAGAAATAAATCTAACTTGACAGCAGACAAACCTCCCTAGGGAAGAAGTTCAAGATGGAGCAGGAGCACCTTGTTGCGCTTTGAGGCCCCAAGACCTCCACCAAAAATAACTTCACACAGACACATATTTTAGTTTAAGTTATTGGGCAAATTTTGGCCACAACTTTATTAATTACAAAGAATGAGCGGTATTGGCTTTAGGCATTGGCAGCAAACTATAACTGACTCTGCCTCTCTGGCGGAGACGGAGCAACATCGATGAAGACTGACTGATGCTCAGCCCAGGGTTCCTGTGGTCCTGGCATGGCCCTAGCCCCTCAAGCGGACTTTGGGCAAGAACCAGGACCCCCAGATTCCTTTACCGGAATACCCTATTCCTGGAGGGACAGGTGATGGCCGCACCTCCCCTCCCCCATATTCCAAAAGCCAATGCCTAAGCACCAAACCTTACAAGTTGTGACGATTGCTAAGGGGGTAGGCGAAAACCAAGTGGCCAAGACAATCTGCCAAATGGAAAAATTCCAACCCAGCTCCTGTTCCTAAAGAGGTGACCCAATCCAAAGCAAGACCAGTGCGACACAGCCTAACAAAAGAGGGAGGGAGGGAGGGCAGGCAGGTGTCTGGCAGAGTGAAGCAAGTGCCCCAATTGAGTCACGCTGCAGCCTATATTGAGTCCAGGGATTGCGCCACCTCCTGCGATTGGCCAAAACAGCCTGGCGTAATCCCTGGGTGGTGGCGGGGGGGGCAAGGCTACCTTCACCCTTACAATTTAACCCTATAGGGTCATTCCCGGGGCCCGCGCGCAACCAGGACCCATTGTAAGGAGGATCCTATTTCCCAGTCACTAAATGCCTTCCCACTGACAGAGAAGCCTCTCTAAAGATACTGATAACACTTTCCCCATGTTCATATGGAAGGATGGGAAATAAATCCCATTCCATTGACACTGAAAAGTGAACTTACCTACTTTGCCCTGTGCCCCCCCCCAAAAAAAGAATAAATACACAGACGGAAGCACAGTCATCTATAAAAACTCACACTTCTTCAAATTTTGAAATGCCAAATAATCTGTACCAAGATGCATATACAGTGTGCAAAGAATGCATATATTACCGGAAATTGCACTGCAAAAATGTTTATGTTAGGAGAAATTTTCACTCAAATGTTGATGAATTTTCATGGGCAGCTTGCTTTTTTAAAAAAAACACCAAAAAAAAACTGTCATGGAAATTTGGATAACTGAACTTAGGAACTGATCTTAGAAACCAAAATGGACAGATCTGCAAATCCAACATCAGATGAACCTACCCATGGAGGAACTTCCAGAAGAGGCAACAGCATCCAGTGCTCTGTCTCTATTCACCACTCACAGTGGTGCCCAAACTTTTTTCAAAGAGGGCCAACCAGCAGGCCGGATTAGGCCACCAAAATGGACTTTTCTTCTCCTTTTCTTGGGTTCATGCTGCAGGAGCTGGTCCATTCAAGTTTTGAAAAGTTAAACAATCCTGTTGAATTGCGCTGAGGAGATGCAACTCAAGGCTGTTGCCTCACCCTCTGCCGGTGAATTCCACAGGTTAAATAAGCATTCCCTACAGAGTGCATTTCCTCCTGCCTGTCCAGAACCTGAATTTGAAGCAAATCAAGTTTCACATGTTCTAATATGGGCAAAAACATTCTGCTTATGGAATCTAGATTGCATGCCCTTTGGCCAAGATTCATATAGGAATGCAGGAGGCTAAGGTTATACTGAGTAAGGCCATCAGTCCATCTACTTCAGCTGCATTAACATTGACTGACAGCAACTCTCCAAGAGTGGAATATTTCCAAGCCCTACCTGGACCATAAAGAAGGCTGATTGCCGAAGAATTGGTGCTTTTGAATTATGGTGCTGGAGGAGACTCTTGAGAGTCCCATGGACTGCAAGAAGATCAAACCTATCCATTCTGAAGGAAATCAGCCCTGAGTGCCCACTGGAAGGACAGATCCTGAAGCTGATGCTCCAATACTTTGGCCACCTCATGAGAAGAGAAGACTCCCTGGAGAAGACCCTGATGTTGGGAAAGATTGAAGGCACAAGGAGAAGGGGATGACAGAGGACGAGATGGTTGGACAGTGTTCTTGAAGCTACCAGCATGAGTTTGACCAAACTATGGGAGGCAGTGGAAGACAGGAGTGCCTGGTGTGCTCTGGTCCATGGGATCATGAAGAGTCGGACATGACTAAACGACTAAACAACAACCTGGAGACAACAGAGATTGAACCTGGGACTTTCTGCATGCAAGGTGTTCCTTTGGGTCCCTTCCAACTCTACAACTCCATGATTCCTCTTCCACTGGGTTAAAGCCCTTCTCTAGTCATATAACTGAAAATTATTAACCAGGGAGCCTTCTCAGCTTTACCTGGAGATGCCAGGAATTGAACCTGTGACCTTCTGCATGCAAAGCAGATGTTCTGCCTGTGAGCTACATCCATTCCCAGCATAAGATATGAGAGATTTGCCCTGTACAGCACCAGGCACAGCAGTGACATGGCACTAACTCAATGCTGAGGGAGCCTCAATAGTAGTTGGTGCTTCAGGTATTCCCCGGTGCTCATTAACCATTCAGTCCCTAAATGATTATGCATCTGTCTAATGACAATGTCAGCTTTAAAAAAAAATACAACAAAAGTAAAATACTGCATGTGATAACAAGGAAGGGTGTAGGCCTATTAGGAGAGAAACTCCTGGAGGTGAAGGTGACAGCTTTATGGCACTGGCCCCTTCCCTTATTTGCAGTAACTCATTTTATGTATAGTGTTTCATATTGGTGCAGCCAAAGGGCTGGATCTGCTGGTGATTTACTCCCACCCATAAGGAGGATGGGAGCTTGCAAGAGGGGAGAAAATAAGTCTGTTGATTAGAACAGTAAATTAAGGTGAGCCGGAGAGCGGGGAGCACCAGAGAACCAGATTCTACAGGCCTGCATAAACATTTCATGCTGTTTTGCCACTTGTTACTTTGCTTCCCTATAAACTGTGCACTCAAAGCACTCTTAATCCCATCATAAAGCTCTCTTCCCCCTTCATCTTCTTCCTCACCTCGCTGGGTGATTTTATTTCTCCTTTGCTCAGGTCAAACCTTCGGTTTGTTGCGCTTTTGCCACACAATCAGAACCACAGTTGCTGCTGCTGCTGGGGTTGCCCAGGGGATGCTGGCCCATTTGGGTAACTGGGGCAATGCCCCACCAAACTCAACCTACCCTGAGCCAGTCCCCACTTCCCTGGCTTCCTGTTCAGAAGCAGTCCAGGGGATGGAACAGCCTGTGAGCTTCCTCCTCCTCCTTAACCTCAACGTTGCCCCCTTGTAGAACTCCGAAGGGCAAAAATAGGATGAGATGGTTCTGCTGGAGTTGGCTCTGGCCCCAACTACTATTGGTTTCCCTGCCTTCCACTCTACCAGTCCCAATAGGCATCAACTACCATGGCCACAGACTATTCAAAATGGAGGAGGAGGAGGAGGAAGAAGAAGAGGAAGAGGAAGAAGAAGAGGAAGAGGAAGAAGAAGAGGAAGAAGAAGAAGAAGAAGAAGAAGAAGAAGAAGAAGAAGTTGTTGTTGTTGTTGTTGTTGTTGTTGTTTGGGTATTGTTTGCTGTTAAATGATGAGCTTGATCAATGACCAGTATGTGATCCAAAGTGAAATCAGAATCAAAAGTTGGGTGACCAATCTCAGGTAAATCACGTGAGGAACTTCAAGGGAAGATGAAATAAAGCTTTATATCAATACCACAGTTGTTTTTAAGGAAGGGGATAGATGACAGCTTCCATCATCCCTGACCATTGGCCATGCTGCTTGGGGTGATGAGATCTAGAGTCCAACATCAGGTTCCTCAACCTTGTCAGTGACTTCCCTGTTGTGAATGGATCTTACCAAAATAACAATTCTCTTCCAGAGAGATATCAAGGGAAACTTGAGGGAAGCTAAAAGGGTTTGTATAATCACAGAGTGGCTAACCGGGGGACCCGGGCATCATGTTGGCACTTGAACACCATGCTGCCTTTCAAGTAATAATAATAATAATAATAATAATAATAATAATAATAATAATAATTTATTATTATTTATACCCCACCCATCTGGCTGGGTTTCCCCAGCCACTCTGGGTGGCTTCCAACAGAACACTAAAATACAATAACCTATTAAACATTAAAAGCTTCCCTAAACAGGGCTGCCTTCAGATGTCTTCTAAAAGTTTGGTAGTTGTTTTTCTCTTTGACATCTGGTGGGAGGGCGTTCCACAGGGCAGGCACCACTACCGAGAAGGCCCTCTGCCTGATTCCCTGTAACTTGGCTTCTCGTAGTGAGGGAACTGCCAGAAGGCCCTTGGCGCTGGACCTCAGTGTCTGGGCAGAACGATGGAGGTGGAAATGCTCCTTCAAGTATACTGGACCGCGGCCATTTAGGGCTTTACAGGTCAGCACCAACACTTTGAATTGTGCTCAGAAACGTACTGGGAGCCAGTGTAGGTCTTTCAAGACCGGTGTTATACAGTATGGTCTTGGCGGTTGCTCCCAGTCACCAGTCTAGCTGACTCTCACCTCTCTCTGTGCAAAGCAAAAGATATCCTAAGGGCCATGGGAGCATCCTCTCCTTTCACACCAAAATGGGTAGTGGGTGGATAACATGTGGTCCCTTCAGTTCTGTTTTTGGCCTAGGGAGTCTTGCCTTCAGCATTTTATCCATAAATGCATGGGGCGGGGAAGCATTTGAGAATCTAACACATCACCTCATGAGCTGCCATGAGTTGCAAAGATACTTCCAGAGGGATCTATGATTTGGAAAATTAAACATGAGGCATATCTAGGACTAAGGACCTGAATGCATTAGATGATAAATTTGGAGTTAGAAGAACAAATCACTTTCTTTGTCAAGAGTGGAACTGTGGAAATAGGAAGACTTAAAACAGACAAGCTTCTTACACAGGATACGTCTCCCTTTTATTTGGTGTTTGAGGATAGAACTAGATATTATGGTAGAAAATGACAATTGTACTCCCTCTGTAGAATGCATGCAAAACTGGGAGAGGCACAGCTGTTTGTCAATTGATTTATACTGGGAGAAATAATTGCATGCTTAGGACTTTTTCATGGAAAGGAGGACTGTAAAGTACTTAGCAGTGGATGGATCATGCACATTTAATTTATATTTTGATGCATATAAAGGGCACAAAATTGAATAATGTGTCAATTCCATCAGGGGGAAAAATAAAAGACCAAAAAACCTCCACTCACCTTTTTTTTTTATTTCAGCATTTGTAGATTTCTGACCTTTTCAGCCACACATAAAAGCTACAATGAATCACCTCCATGGTGCTTGAAGCACTCCCTCTCACCCTAGAATACATTCAACCATTGTTTCTTTTGTCAATATTTCATCCAAACAGAGCGCACACATCTGCAAGGCAATGTGAGCACCCTTTTGTTGGGAGCAGAGTGGAGAGGATAAAGGGATAAGTAGCTATTTTATTTTATCTGAACCATAAATATAATAGGAGCTCTTTATAAGGATTAAAAAAAAATCCCAGTAGCTAATGCATAGTTTCCAACATTTCACAGTGGAAAGTAGGGACACTCTTGTGTATTTATAATATCCCTCGTCTCCTTGCTTGAATGCCCCAATACAAACCTTTTCACCAAGAGGTGCTGTTAATAGAGTCCCCCTCCTGTCCCTGAATGCTTGGGTAAAACAAGCACACAGTTTTCCTGTTGTTATTATCAAAAGATCAAAGTGAAGCTCACCAGCCACATCATATGAAAAGGAAGGATATCTTAACTCCTTGCTGCCACCACCAGGGACCTCATGGCACCAATGGTGGAAAGTGGGGTGGCATTTTGGTATGTTAGGCTGAGAGATCATGACTGTTTCAAGAATACCCAGTGAGCTCCAAGGTGGAATGAGGATTTGAACCTGGGTCACCCCAGTCCAACAATCCAACCATAATAACCACAGTGGAGCCAAATCCGCGCCATACATTTAAAGCACGGCGATACAATTTTGAACAACCATGGCTTCCCCAAAGAATTCTGGGACGTGTGGTTTGTTAAGGGTGCTGAGAGTTGTTAGGAGACACTAATTCCCCTCAGAGAGCTACGATTCTCAGAGTTCCCTGGGAAGAGGCATTGATTCTTTATCCCCACTGGGAAGTGTAGATCTGGGAGAGGAATACAAGCAGAGGCATACTTTGGCACCCTTGACAAGGAGCTGTATCGGAACCTCCAAAGCTGGGAGAGGCCACGGTCCAGAAAATCAAAAAGCGTGTTGCCTTTTGTGCTCCTCCAGTGACTCCCTCTGTGATCATCAGGGTCGTGTCTGCTCTGCTCCACCTCTTCCTCCTCCTTCTCCATTGGTCCCTCTGCCTGCCCGTCTTCCTGCCTCCCTCTCTCATTGCCACCATTCACTGCTTTCCCTTCTCCCTTCCTCCCTTTTTCTTCTTCCTGCAACTCTTGCTGCCCCACCTCTGTTTCCTCCCCACTCCAAGTCCCACTGGATGTTCTGCTCGCACTTCTAATAGCATCCTTAGCCGACTGGGAAGGGAGCCCTGCATGGCTACTGTGATGGCCCACGCCAGTGATCAAATTCTTCCGTCAAGGCACTCCCAGGGCCTGGCCACCCAGAGCTGTGGAGGAGTGGTCCATGGAGTGCGTAGGCCGGTGGGCTCCTAGTCACTCCAAGTCAGAGTAGAGAGGCATGGTTTTTGCACCCTGCTGGGACTGCTCCCTTGGCAGAGGTCAACCTGGCCAACCCCTAGGTACACCCCTGAATACAAGTCTCAGCACCCTTGAGAAACTTCATCTCCCAAAATGATCACAATCAGAATTCAGTTCCAGAAACACCTCTCTCCCCACCATCATTGCCTACTCTGCAGATCTTAAGGAGCAAAAGGCTTAAATGTGGTCCTTAATCCCATAGTCTCGTAGAGTTGGAAGGGACCCAACTTGTTATCTAGTTCAACCCCCTGCAAGACAGGAATCACAGCTAAGCACATACTTCTATCAAGATTCTGGTGTTCTGGTAGCCCAAACTTGTTCATTTGATCCTGCAGACCTTCTATTGCTTTCCCATTTGTTCAGTTTTGACAGATGTTGCAATAGGTCAGAGAAGCAGTTTTAAGCAGAGGTATGATTTCTTTAGGGACGTGGGGTGGCGCTGTGGGTTATACCACAGAGCCTAGGAATTGCTGATCAGAAGGTTGGCAGTTCGAATCCCCGCGACAGGGTGAGCGCCCGTTGCTCAGTCCCTGCTCCTGCCAACCTAGCAGTTCAAAAGCACGTCAAAGTGCAAGTAAATAAATAGGTACTGCTCCAGCGGTAAGGTAAACGGCGTTTCCGTGCACTGCTCTGGTTCGCCAGAAGCGGCTTACTCATTCTGGCCACATGACCCGGAAGCTGTACGCCGGCTCCCTCGACCAATAAAGCGAGATGAGCGCTGCAACCCCAGAGTCGGCCACGACTGGACCTAATGGTCAGGGGTCCCTTTACCTGTACCTATGATTTCTTTACCAGACCAATACACTCTGGTTTTTCTATGCCTTCCCATTATGTCTCCAACCCCACAGAGTGCATGTTGTGGTTCAGCTTCACAGAGAAGCAACTCTGCTCCATTTGCAGAGTTTGTCAACTCCTGTCACAGCTGTTTCATCACTGCTTGAAGCCAAGGGTGTAATTTTACGTGGGAGAAAGCTTTGGAGACTACGGAATGGCTTGCGTTATCTGAAAAGGCTTTATTTACCATTTCTCCCAAACAGTAATACATCTATTCAGAGAATATTGAGATCTTATTATATTGAATCATGTCAGCATTTAGAAAATTAGAGGTTTCTTTTTAAAACCTAGAATGAACTGATTTTTTTTTTAAAAAAAATCTTTTTAAAGATGATCACACTCACAATTTCTCACTGCTCAAGCTGGTTGTCTGAGGAAAAAATTGTTAGTTGAGCAAAGGAGAGAGAAGCCTGAGCTTAGAATGTGCCTGAACAGATTGTACTGAGAGCAAAATTCTAAGAAACATTTACAAAGCCAGGTGGAATCCTATTGGCCCCTTCTGTCACCTGATCCCTGCAGTGCTGGTAGATGCAATACCACCTCCGGGCCAAATGTGGTGCTCAGTGCAAGTCAGATGCACCTGATGCTCTGAAAAAGCTACACAGATGCATTGTGGACAAAACCAGTTACTGCCATGGTCCCCAGATGAAGACCCTCGGAGCCTTCAACTTGTGGCCTTTACGTTATTTAAAAATGTAAAGCATTTGGATATTGCTTTTCAGCCCTGAGGGCCTCTCATTTAGGTAAATTCTTGGCATCCGATTTCCTCTCTGCATCAGCACCATAGCAGTTTAGCAGAATAGCGCTGTGTGGTGTAGTGGTTAAGAGCGGTAGTCTCGTAATCTGGAGAACCGGGTTCGCGTCTCCGCTCCTCCACATGCAGCTGCTGGGTGACCTTGGGCTAGTCACACTTCTCTGAAGCCTCTCAGCCCCACTCACCTCACAGAGTGTTTGTTGTGGAGGAGGAAGGGAAAGGAGAATGTTAGCCGCTTTGAGACTCCTTAAAGGGAGTGAAAGGCGGGATATCAAATCCAAACTCTTCTTCTTCTTCTGTGAAGTGT